TCATTCCCAATGACTCCTGGTGTTTGGTGTGTGTGTGTGTGTGTGTGTGTGTGTGTGTGTGATATCATTCCCAACTACAAGTTGAAGGCTATCGGAAAACTATTATTTTCAAATAGTCTACAATTATGTTATTTTTCACTAAGTGTTTCCTCTTGCTGTAATTAATAGATGTCTCATTAGTACTTAAGAAATTCACACTTGTATCAAATAATTAATATGCTGCAGTCATTACAAACACTGGTCTTGTTAAGTAGATTGTGTCCCTTACAACCTGATTCAAACTATTAATTTACCTAGTCAAGCATGTCTTAATAACACGAATGCCCAATTATATATAGTTAGCATTAATAGCATACAGAGGGCTTTAAAAAAATATTGCCTTGATGAATTCTCGTGATCTATAATCTCTTGTCTTTCACATTTCAATCCCTAGAAACCATGGTTTCTTCCATCAACAGTCACAGACAATGCTTTGGAGAAAGTCACAACTAACCTTTCAAATGTAAAATCTAGAGGACCTCTTATCCAAGGCTAACCTTACTCAACCTCTCTGTAGCATTTGGTACTATTGATCAAGCTCCATTACTTTATTCTTCCCCCCGGGGGGGGGGGGGGGGGAGGCTAACCTTACTCAACCTCTCTGTAGCATTTGGTACTCTTGATCAAGCTCCATTACTTTATTCTGCCCCCCGGGGGGGGGGGGGGCTAAGACACTACAGTCGTCTACTTTTTCTTACTTCTTATTATTTCTTGCCCTCTTCCAGTTCCGTTTCCATGGCCCACTACTTAAATATTGGTATTTTTGCCTTTTTGATTTCTTACCCCATATATCCACTTGTGTAACAGGAACCAGTCTGTGCCTTCAACTACAATCTCTATGTTGGTCCCAAATGCACACCTCCAGCTCTGGCCACCCTCTGAGCTTCAGGCCCACACAGCCAACTTTCACAAAGGCATGTCAACCCCAAATGCCAAAAACCGACTACCTCATCAAAGTCAGTTCCTTTTGTTGGATGTTTTATCTTGATGTTAAAATCACCCAAGGTAAAATCAGCAAGTCATTCTAGATTCCTTCTTCTTGCACATTCCTTACATCTAATCAGTTTCACCATCTCACTGATATGGGTCTTACTGGCTCACATTCAACACTTCTTTCCATTCCCATTGCTGGGCCTTAGCTCAACCCAGAACTGTTTTTAAAGCTATATATTAAACATATCTAATAATGGCAGTAATACATGTTCAATTTTATTACTATACATAAGCCCAGGATTTGGGGATGGAGTTTTTCTGTGCTCTATGGGGAAAGAGAGGATAATAGTAGAGAGACCTGGATTTAAAGTCATATAGACTTGGTTTCAAATTACAGCTCCACCACTTCCTATCTAGATAACCTTAAGTAAGTTACTTAACATTGCTGAGCCTCACTTTCCTGATCTGTAAAAAAAAAAAAAAAATGAGACTATTTTAATAATAAACTCCAACTAAACTACTATGAATATTAAATAAAATGTTGGTAAAATGTTTAGCAGCATACCTGACCGCTGGTGAGCATTCAAAATAACGATAATTATTACCCCTTACAAATACAGTGATGAACTGTTCACTGATTTGTAATTTCTTCTTTCAACATATTACCAGTATCTTCCAATGCCAATATATACACTTGTCCATTTTCATGGTATTTCATTATATAGATATGCCATAACATATTTAACTAACCACCTCTTTCCTTTTGGATTATTTCTAATTTTGGCCAGTATACAGAAAATGGCAATGAACTTAAGCATAACTATTCGCATGCTCATCTGATTATCCCCTCTGAAGGAATTTCTAAGTCCAATGAGGAGCATGGTTTTCAAGATTTTGCCACATGACAACTGCTCTCCAGAGGGATTCTACCACTTTATATATTCCCATCAACAATGAAATTAGCTGGCATCTCCTACCAAACCTCCTCTCTCACACTCCTCCAATGTATCCCTCACCTGCCATGGTAACAGCTGTTCTAAAATGCAAATATAATCATGTAACTGCTGGGGTCACAGCTTTCAGCAGTTCCCTGCCACATACGGAAGAGAAGCCTGGTTCCCCACTGAGCCCCATTCCCGCCTTCCTTCTGCCCCTGCCCCTCCATGTACCTCACTGGCCAGGATGACCGAATTTTCCCTCCAAACACCCTCAGTTCTCCCCACTTAGATATCCAACACACACCTCACACTCAACAGGCCCTAGGTTGAAATTATTATCTTCCCTATCTCAGTGTCAATTCCACACATCAAAGAGTTGTTTAACAAATAAAAGACATGCCAGTTTCATTCAAATGATTTATGGGGAGAGTCAAGAAACACAAACCAACAAGAAAAATGTGGGGACACTGTGGGAGGGGATAGTTTATCGAAAACATAGATGGCTCACATTCCACCCAAAGGGAAGAGCTGCTACTTGGATCCAGGCAATTGTTACCCTGCAGGAAACAGGTCCCCTACGGCAAGGCACATGAGGATGCTCCCACCTCCAAACTGTCAAGTCAAGATGGAAGTCCAGACTTTCATGTTAAATCTTTTCGAGTTAACATTCTGGCAACTGATGGAAGCCTATGTAGAAAACTGATTAGTTGGTGACTCACCACATAACCACAGTATGTGACATTATCTCCTACTTCCTTTGTTATTCTGTAATTGTTTCCTGGGTATATTTTTTCTCCCTAAGAAAATGATAGCAGCTTGGAAAAAACCTCTGGCAACTGATGGAACTTTTTCAACCGAAATGACCTCCACTGTGGGCCACCATCACCGATGGTGACCACTCTACCAGGAAGCTCCTCTGCTAGGGAGACTTAACACCTGCCATGTGTTTCTCACGCCCCCGCACTACTCTCTGGTGAAGCCCCTCTGATGTCCACTTCCTGTCTGATAGCCCCGGGTCCCCAGGTCAGGCTCCATCACACACCTCTAGCACTGCTGAGCTCAACCCTCCTACATCCCTCTCTGGCTCCCTGTAGGGGAGCAGCAGGCCCATCTCCTCTGAAGACCTAACAGGAAGTGGGGCTTCAGCACCAAGGAGGCTCTTAGCAGTATTTTGTCAGAATAATCGCTGAATTTCTCAGAAGGGATCACCAAAACTCGAACATTAAGTGACACCTAATACATGATGAAACTGAGAGTTAAGTCCAGGCTTAAAACCCAAGCCTTAAACTGACAATACAGCTTCTAACTAGTCCAGACATAATTCTCAGACCAGCTCTCCTCTATTTAACCCAAAGTACCGACTAAAGAAATCCAAGTTAATGCTATTTTTCTATAATTGCAAAATTATTTAAACGTTCCATCTTCAAAAAAAGTAACATTTTAATTTTTGTCTAAGGACTTATTATTAAAAAGGTACAGCACAAATTTTGTTTTCTTAGATACACACTGTTCCTCAGAGTATCACTTTATAACGGTCTTAATTAAAAAGACAAGGATATAAAGTCATCTAAGTTAATGTGAATAATCAGGGCTACAAAAGAGAAGAGGTTCACGTGTTCATAATCTTTAGAGGTAACAGAACATTCTCAGTTAAACAAGAATGATATCTCAAAAATCCTTTCTAACCTGTATAGCATTTCTCAAAAAATATAAACACTATGTACAATTCCCACTTATTAAATTTTATGCTTTTAGAGATACTTTGAAATTGACCAAAAAAAGTTTAATGCCAGGAAAATGCTATTTTGTAAGAGTGAGAGCTATAAATAAATAAAGGAGAAAAAAAAATTTTTGTGTGATTACTGGATTCCCTAAGTAGGCCAAAGCAGAAAAATCAAAGGCTGATAATTGCATTTCCACATTATTCCACAAGATGTCAGCATGTAACTGAGGAACTTCTATGGTGGTGATGGTGGTGGAGGGGTGTCTTCACCATAAATAGAACAATAGAAACCCTTGCATTTCATGATCTTAAGTTAGAGCTTTGGTAACTCACTTCTTCTGAATGTGTTTTCATGTATATTTCATTATTGTAAACCCAGTTCTTACTATACTCTTACAGAAGTTTATGAATACTAAGAGTTAAATATCCCTTTTTTGACATATTTTAATTTTCTGCATTGCAACATAACTCTCTCCAAATTCTTAAGTTCCAGTTAAGACACTTTAAGGACATACTGAAGTCTAGGAAAGATCTCAGGCACTACACCAATACTGACCTATTTGTTTATCTGGGTTAGATTTTTTCCCCATTTTACAGATGAGAAAATTGAAGGAAAAAAGGTCAATGGTTCACACAAGGGGCTCTTTAATTACTAAACATTACACATTTAGTGGGCAACTGGAATCTCCAGAGTCCTCTGTGTGCTTATGTGTGGGTGGGTGTATGCTGAGACAATCCTGTCTTGTTATCTTCCTTTGTTCCTTAACAACAGCTCACATGCTGAGTCACCAAGACCTGTGCAACTATCCATATTCATCATTAGTACTAATAGGAGCATAGCTACCATTATTGACGCCTTTAACTTATATATAGTACCAGAGCCTACTAAGTGTGTAGAAATTCATCCTACAAAAACATTCAAAACTCTTTGTTGCATATAAGATATTAAAAACAGTACTGCAATCTGTATAACTACATATATCTTCAAGTTTTTCTTACATCATTTGCACTCTTATCTTGCTTTTCATATTTTTCCCGGTCATAAGCCATTTTCTTCAGCAATTTCTTCATGGCTTTTTTATCTTTTCTGTGATTTTCAGTGTTTTGCTTCCTCACTTGGTTGACAATGAACTTGGGAATCTATGGAGAAATGAAATTAAGTTTGGGGAGGAAAAAGTAGTACCATTTTAAACTATAGAAATAATTACCTTTATTTCTTATATTTGGAGAGAAGTAAAGGCTCTGTCTATTTGATAAGACTATGCCATTCATTAAATCTGTGGGGAAAAAATTCATCATATTACCTACCATGTGTACAGAGCATCCAGGTGACGAAAATTACCACCCACTGTGTAAGGTTCAAAAAGAAGCTTAGGGACTTCCCTGGTGCAGTGGTTAAGAATCCGCCTCCCAATGCAGGGAACACAGGCTCGAGCCCTGGTCCGGGAAGATCTCACATGCCACAGAGCAGCTAAGCCCGTGCGCCACAGCTACTGAGCCTGCACCCTAGAGCCCACGAGCCACAACTAGGGAGCCTGCGTGCGGCAGCTACTGAAGCCCGTGCACCTAGAGCCCCTGCTCTGCAACAAGAGAAGCCTGCGCACCACAATGAAGAGTAGCCCCTGCTCGCCTCAACTAGAGAAAGCCTGCACACAGCAACAAAGACCCAACGCAGCCAAAATATTAATTAATTAATTTTAAAAAAGAGGTTTGGTGAAGTTCAAGGACATAGTGACCATCTTCTATGCCAGGACTGGAGACTGCCTGAGGTGACAGGTATTAGGCACCACGAACTCAGCAGTTGGTCCCTTTAGCAGCCACCTATCTACAACCTAGCCTGCAACTAAACTATACCCTTCTAATAACCAGCTAGCCTCTCCTGTCAAAAGAGAAAGAAAAACTCACCAATAAACAAGAGCTGACAGGTACCTAGCAATAATCCTCAGATTATTGAGGATAAAATAATCCTCAGAAATTCCATTAGCAAAAATAAAATATTTTAGAAGTCACCAAATTGAAAACCTTAATCATGTAGGCATTTTAAAAACTGAGATTTTTAAAAGTAGACATCAATTTTTTTAACCGCATTTGAAATCACCTATATTGGTTACCTTTTTATAGAGACTATAACAATAAAAAGACTTCAGAATCTAGATATCATTGCTCATTAACAGAAATTGAAAATATATACTTACTGTCCACAGAAGTTTTTGATACTTAATCAATAAGTGCATGACATTAGCTATCCCAGCTGCCATTACAAATTCTCGCTGTTCACTGGACTTCAAACCCAATGTATGATACATGAAGAGATTCGGGGCCATGACCATTGCTACATTCATGACAGTCATCTTATTTTTCTCTTTATTGTCCACGACTCTTTGGAGAAATTCGAGCAGGGCCTGAAACAGAAATAACGCTTTGAGACCTGTGTTATACATGAAGATAAGAGATTAAGGCACTGCAGGGATTTTTGTTTATTAAAAAAAAATAATAAGTTGTGCATAACCACAGTCAGCCAGCCACATCCAGTGGGCCTTGTCCTGAAAGCTGCTCCATTGCTTAACACACCTGGAGCTGGTGCTGTGTTTCCGCTGTGGACTATGGCCCTGGGGAATGAGGCAAGAGGACACACATCTGAGCTGGGCAGTGGGGATGAGGGATGGAGAAGTGTCAGACCACCTGCCTATCAAAGCCATGGAGCACTGAAAAATAGTTCAGAATATCAAACGAGTATTCACTTGCTGCAGGAAGTGCTGTACTTTTATCTCTAAATATTAAAAAAAAAAATCCATTAAAAAGGCTCGTTCAATCTCAGTTGCATTTGTTTTAAGGGACTCAATAGCTGGCTGACTTGAAATCCAAAAAGAATGGAGACTGGGATGGGGAGAAGGGGAAATAGAGACAAAGAGAAGAGAATTTTTTTCAAAAAAATGAATGAACGAAAAGAAGCTTTTCACCAGAACAGGCTAGTTTATGCTCAGTTTGATGCCCCCCACTTCCCACCTCCATGGACAACACTTATGTGTCCTCTGAGCGCCCCTCCACAAAAGCCACAGCAGCTTAGATCACCCTCCTTCTGCTAGGGCATAAAGCTTTAAGTTCTTCTTTTGCCTTCTTTCTTGAATCAATTTTGGTCCAAAACATTAACAATAACTGCACAGATATTCAATGATCTCTACAGGTGAGGCATTGTTTTAAGAACTTCATAGAGATCACCTCACTTAATCCTGATTGGAAATAGATGCCGTAATGATCCCCATCATACAGATGAGAAAACAGCGTCTAAGAGAATGGATGTAACTTACCAGAGGTCACAGAGCAAGCACATGGTGGAGAAGGAATTTAATTGCCTGTCTATCTGGCTTTGTTTCTGAACTCTTAACTATTAAAAGAAGCATGTTATCATACTTAGCCTAAAATTCCTACCTGAAAAAGTTCAAATAAACTATGCCAAAATGGAAAAACAAAACAAAAACAAAAAAACTGTGTTCATCTCTCACAGGATTTCAGGGGAAAAAATATTCCTATAAGCTCTAACAGCTTGATCTTGAGTCCAGTTTAGCTAACTATATAGACCCTCAAAGTTTGAAACAAACTAAAGGCAGAGCCTTACTATTTAACAATGAGATTTATGTATCCAATTTCTGGTCCAGTGCTCAGAAAGTTAAACTGTAATCCAAGCATAAGGTTATATAGAAACAACACCTTCTCAAATGAGGACAAAAGATTAATTGGTAAGGTTTGGAAAAAATATTTAATTTTGTTCCAGAGACCAGAATAATTATTCAGGGACCAGTGTATCTCTTTCTTTACAAGCATAAATTGCAGAGATTAGGTAATAAACCACTTAAATGTGGGGTACATAATACAATAATGTTATTCAAAAGATTACTATCAGGATATTAGAATACGTGTGTGTATATGTAGATATGAAACTAATAAAATGTTAACCTAGCCTTTGCTGAAAGAACTTCATCTTCGGATATATTGTCTCTTCATCTGATCTATAAGCACTGTCCTTTCTTAAAAGTATCTATCACCAGGACTTCCCTGGTGGTCCAGTGGTTAAGACTCTGTGCTTCCAATGCAGGGGGCACGGGTTTGATCCCTGGTCGGGGAACTAAGATCCCACGTGCCATGAGGTGTGGCCAAAAAAATATATATATATCTATCACCAGTCTGGTGTTATATAAGTGTCACTGGACCCACTCTCTGAAAACTCAGTTTGAGTCTTAGCACAGTTACTTATTAGCTATATGTGATCTTGGGATAAACCTTTTGGCATCCCTGTTCTTTAAAGTCTTCTCATTCATAAAATGTGTGCTATTTAAAATTTTAAAGTAGTTTTAATTTAATGGGAATTTTAATGGGAATACTAATCTCCTAGCCTGCCAGGATTAAGCAAGAAAATGTATATAATGAACTTCCTAAAACTACAAAAAGGATAAACACATGCCAATAATTATATTAACATGAATTCCCCACTGATGTCTTAACATTAGTCTTTGTTACTCCTCCAAGTCAAGGGCAGGTATGATCACTGGTCCAAATGCACGATAACCCAAGGTTAAAAGAAAATCTTGGTCAAGCAACTTGCCTGAAGACACCTGTTGCTCTAGACTTAAACCAGGACATGGAATTTAACATAGTCCCTCCAAACCCTTAGATATGCTGTAGAAACAGTCTACACAAGTCATGCACATGATCCCGTCCCACCAAATGGCAACGGAAAAAGTGGCAATAGGACTGGGAAAAATGAGGAAGTGCACATTAAGCTTCCTGAAACTACCTTGTGGTGAAGCTTCCCTTCTCTTTTAGAGAACTAAATTTAGATGGTTTATTCTCTATATATGGTATACTTGTTTTGGTGTTTCTGTTATTAGAAATCTTGTTTGAAACCTTCATCAGAGCTGGCTAATTAAGCTACTAAAGCTTACATAAATTAGTAACATTACTTGTTTGGCACTTTCCAATTTTTTACCCCAAGAAAGTATTTTCCATTTTATTTATACAATTGTGCTCCCAGTAACCTTATATGCTAAAATTAAAACTACTTTAAAATTTTAAAAAGTACACTTTTAAACAGATTTTGTTTTAAAAGAATGTGCCTGGGACTTTAAAGGCAAAATCCAAGAATGAGTTCTAGACCAACCTCGCCCAATAGTAACCATATGGAAATAAGCGTTTCCTCCCACAATTATCTGAACTCATTTGAATGCAGGCATATTTTAAGTCAATCATGTCTTTCAATTTCTACCTTATATTGGTCATTCACAGGGCCATCACACAGACAGGCACCTTTATGTGAAAAAGAAAAAGATGGATTAAATTCCTCTTTCTAGGTAGTTGATGCCTTGTGTCAAGGGCACGGCTGGCAAGCAGAGAACAGACTGAAAATTGGTACCCGCTTCATCCTGGGCCAGATGTCCTTATTTCAGCCACAGTCTACACACCCACACCCAGCAGCCCTGGTCACACAGTGTTTGAATGCAACCCTTTCTGGAGTTGGCCTCTGTCTCCAAAACCAAACCAAACCAAACACAACCTGCCTCTCAGTTATTCATTCAGTTAATCAGTGAAGCGAAAGATTATTTTCTGACTTAGTAAAGGGACTAACTAACTCTTTGGAAGTTCTCCTGCAGCAGCGCAGTGTTTTTATTCCAGCAATCCTCATCAACTGCTTCAGCCAGAAAAGTTGAGTATTAACATTCATTCCACGGGCATGGAATTCGCTCACCTAGCTTCAGTTCAGGGAGTCTTAATGAGGTACAGAAAGACATTTCCAAGATTTACCAACTGGTGGTTTTGTTTCCTTGACAGGAAATTTTTTGACATGATTTTTTTCGTTTTAAATAGAAAGAACCGTAGGGGGTTAAATGGGCAAGGGTTTCACCCTTACCTGTATAAAAAAAAAATTTTTAAGGCAACAACAAAACATAAGGGAGATGCTCTTTCTAAATCATATTTTTAAAATTTCTCTTTCTCTTTTATAAAAGTTTATAATTAAACCTTTTCTAACTACTCTATAAATGGTTGCATTAAGGAAAATTAATCAATGTGGAACAATCCACTATTATGAAAGCCTCTGACAATACATAGTAAACGGTATTTAATCATATGAATATCAGACCAAATCACTTTGAAATGATGATATAAATCAGAAACTCAGGGTAATCCATTAGAGAAATAACTAGAATTTATTTTGAGTTGGTCTATATTTTGGCTAACCAAACATTTCAAAATCATCATTATAACATTTCAAACTCTACTGCTTGGAACTACAAACAAATGTAACCTTTTTAGGCAACGCTGGGCTATATTTGATGAGCCTTAGGATTTTCTTTTTAAACATTCAATTTTCACCTTACCAGTATATGCTCACCAGCTAAAATTTGGAAAATTCAGGAAAATAGAAAGAAGAAAAAACCAAAAGGCACCCATGTTTTTATTAACAAATGAACCTCAATCACCTGTTTTGGTAGAAGAAATGTTATAATTGAAAAAAAATCAACAAAACACCTAATGATACTATTAACATGACTAACCTGGTTAATAAATTAATAAAGAGTTAAAGACTTTCACCATCTGCCCTTAAAAATAGGTCTTTTCCTTACAGACAACTACTAACATCTCCACGATAACATCATTTTGTTTTGCCACAAATAATGAAAAATTACTCTGTTTAGTGCTGAGGGATATTTAACATAAATGAATCCAGCTGACCTTGAGTGTGTCTCTGTTTGCATCGGGCAGGAGGATGACAAGAAGGTTCAAAGCCTGTAGTTGTTGCTTCTTGGTTGGAAGATCTGCAGACAGATTAAATACATCTGAACGTTTGTCTTTACCAAACATTTCTCTTTACTTTCTTTTTCCGTTTTGTAAGAAAAAAGTTTTTTGGCATAAACATCACTGTGAAATGTGAGACACAATGCCTGAGCAGCAAGCCTTGTTGGGAGCGTGTCTGGGGGAGATCAGGAGAAGCAGCTGTTGCTATAGAGCTTTCTCTCTCTCAGAATGCTCACTTCCAACTATGAGTGTATGACGGGCAGCCTTATGTTTGCAGACACACAACAGTGCTTTGGCAATAATTTTAACTTCCGCGTGATAATTATTCCCCAGTGTAAAGACATAGGAGATCAGACCTTCTATGATATGGTGTCAGGGTGGACCCGCAACAGTGAAGTTTGTTTGGTATAATGATGAGTTAACAAATTACGTGGTGTACATGGTAAGAGTCCATCGATTCCAGCAGGACTATTGTAAAACAGAGCCTAGAACACAACAGGTGTTCAATAAATGTTTGTGGGATGAACTAGAAGACCAACCAGCAATGAAACAGTTGAAGAGGTACATTATTTTCATTGATACTTATTTTCAGTAGCCCTTACCCCATTAGGTAATACCCATGGATATCTGCAATCATTCTGGCATTTGTTTTTCAGGTATAAATTTGGTCCTTTGATCCACATCCAAGGAATATACATGCAAAATAGTACAACTTAACCATTAAAAAAAATATTTTAAACAGATTATTTCAGTCATGTTTCCCTAAAAATTCTGAAGAAATGCTATGATATGAGATAACCCATGGGAAACATCTCAATACGACATGCTTTAAGAATAGCCTGGAACATAATGGAATAACATTCAGCCATTTAAAAAAAATGAAATCTTGCCATCTGCAACAACATGGATGAAACTTGAGTGGATTATGCTAAGTGAAATAAGATGCAGAAAGACAAATACCCTATGATCTCACTTATATGTGGAATCTAAAACAAAAACAAAAACAAAGACAAAAACAAAACAGCTCATAGATACAGAGAACAGACTGGTGGAACAACCTGAACCACCATAGGTAGTGGGGATCGGGGGGAAATGGGTGAAGGGAGTCAAAAGGTACAAACTTCCGGGCTTCCCTGGTGGCGCAGTGGTTGAGAGTCCACCTGCCGATGCAGGGGATACGGGTTCGTGCCCCAGTCCGGGAAGATCCCACATGCCGTGGAGCGGCTGGGCCCGTGAGCCATGGCCGCTGAGCCTGCGCGTCCGGAGCCTGTGCTCCGCAATGGGAGAGGCCACAGCAGTGAGAGGCCCGCGTACAGCAAAAAAAAAAAAAAAAAAAAGGTACAAACTTCCAGTTATAAAATAAATAAGTCCTGGGGAAATAATGTACAGCATGGCAACTATAGTTAATAACACTATATTGCATATTTGAAAGTTACTAAGAGTAGATCTTAAAAGTTCTCATCACAAGCAAAAATTTTTCTGTAATTATGGTGACAGATGTTAAGTAGACATATTATGATGATCATTTTGCAATATATACAAATATTGAATCATTACATTGTACATATGAAACTAATATAATATTGTATGTCAATTATACCTCAATTAAAAATAAAAGAATAGCCTGGAACAGTTCTGGTTGACACTTTAGTTCAGCCTAATCATTAATAGTGCCTCCCTTTTACTCTCAAAAGTGTTCCAATTTGGAACTTAAAGTATGGTTTGGTCACTAGAATGTGGTGACAGCATTTTTCCTTTTTTGATGGTCTCTCTGACTAAAAGGTATAATTATGCCAGTACAAGAACCTCATCAGCTCTCTCTGTTCACTGGAAAGGAATTGAGAACTACTCGAGACATTAATTTGGAGCTTGCCTAAGACCACAAAATGGAAAGACATGAGAAATTTGTTGTCCCCTGACCAATGAGGCAGCCAAATAATTTGTTCCATGTTTCTGCATGACAATTTCAGAAGTTAATTTTTCAGGAAATAATCACAGACTCTGCCATATCTCCTTGTGCTTTTATGATAACTGTTAATCCACAGCTTCTCCAGTAAGTGTTGCTTTTAACACTTGGAAAGAAAAATGTATCACAGAGATTACGTGATTCATTCTATTAAAAAAGAAGTGTGAATTTCCAGGTTTTAACATGAAAATATGTATATTGTATTGCTTAAAGGGCATGCAATTAATCCGTACCCAAAGAGAACATTCTATTATCTATTTACTCAGAGATGTATATTTATAAAAGAAAAGGAAAACATCACGTGGCATTTGAGTACTCACTGACATCAGTGAGTAAATATGTCTATCCAAAGTTATCTTTGCGATGCAAAATATCATTAAAGCAATTAATATGGATGGTACCAGCACAAGGACTGCTTCAAAGAGGGATGGCACTTACTCTGGACAGCCTGAAAGGCTTTGAGATATTCTACACTGAGCAGTGGCTGGGGCAGCTCCCGGATGAAGAGCTTCAGTAGGCTGGCGGCATCATGCTGCTTAACACTTTCCCAATTAAAAGTCCCTTCATAAAACTTTGCTTCCAGTTCTTGGCAAAGATTCTGAAAGGCAGAAGAGAGAGAGGAAAAAAAAACTACCAGTAAGTGCATGTGTTTTTTTTCCTTCTGAGACTGATATACTTCCCACTTTATAAGAGATTCTACTCTTTTGAAAAGACATTTGAAAATACTAAAGGCCAACACTTCTCTATTACTCAGAAAAATACTACTCCTCCCACCCCAAGTGTACTTCACCAAGGAAAATGATACCTAAGGCCCCAAATTCTGAAACTTTACACATTTTCCTGGACATGCAACAAACCTTAAGCAGTAAAGGCTGAATTAAAATATTAGTTAAAATAGCCTTTACATTTGGGGGCTTTACTTAGATACTATACCAACATTTTTTTTTTTTTTTTTTTTTGCGGTACGTGGGCCTCTCACTGTTGTGGCCTCTCCCGTTGTGGAGCACAGGCTCCGGACGCGCAGGCTCAGCGGCCATGGCTCATGGGCCTAGCCGCTCCGCGGACCAGGGCTCATGGGCCTAGCCGCTTCCCAGACCGGGGCACGAACCCGCGTCCCCTGCATTGGCAGGTGGACTCTCAACCACTGCGCCACCAGGGAAGCCCTTCACCAACTTTTAAAAAATCATTAAGAAAACAAGTCTATGTTTTAAATTATTTAGAAGTACGTTATGTAACAAAATACATAATCAATCTCTGGACCTAAAGCAGAAGGCCACCTCTCAGAAATGGAAAACCAAATTCTATAGCAAATGAGGCACGAAAATACATCAGTATACCTGTCTTAAATGCACAGGCTGTCAGTGACCCAGCCATGCTGCTGCCAGCTGCCAAAAGCAGCTGGAGTCCCTGCAGAATTAGAAATACCTAGTTCATTTACCTCAAGGACTCTACAAAATTTGCCAAATTATTAATAATAAATCAATTTAGTTTCATAATTACTATCTTCTATATGCTTTTTCACTGTGGCATAAATCCTATTATGTTAGAAGTCCTTCCAAGTTTCTGTCACTTCCCTCTAATATTTGAAACTGTTCTCCCAAGGAACATTCTTTGTTTTTCCTGTAAGGTAAATTTATTATGCTTTCCCTTCCCAACACAATTCCATCCTCTACCCCAATTACTTTTGTAATTGGTGAAATACAAAAGGTGAAGCCAGGGGCTTCCCTGGTGGTGCAGTGGTTGAGAGTCCGCCTGCCGATGCAGGGGACACAGGTTCGTGCCCCGGTCCAGGAAGATCCCACATGCCGCGGAGCGGCTGGGCCCGTGAGCCATGGCCGCTGAGCCTGCGCGTCCGGAGCCTGTGCTCCGCAACGGGAGAGGCCACAACAGTCAGAGGCCCGCGTACCGCAAAAAAAAAAAAACAAAAAACAAAAGATGAACCCAGAAATTGGGGGTAGGAGAAAGAAAGGTGGAAGGAGAGAGGGATGCAAGAAGGTGCAGGGGAAGGGAGGGAAAGAAGAAAGGAAAGGAGAGAAGCCTTGAGGAAGAGGGAGAAGGGGAAACGGGGAGAGAGAAGGAAGGAGAGGGCAAAGAGGAAAGAGAAGGGAAGGGGAAGGAGAGGAGGGGAGAGGGGG